TATATATATATATATATATATATATATATATATATATATATATATATATATATATATATATCCCCTCCCCTGTCTGTGTCTCTGTCTCTCTCTATGGTGATAGCTTCTCCCCTCTGTTTGTGCTGTATATGTAAGATTAGCATTTTCTATGGCGACCCTCTGTATATACCAGTCTCTATATATCTATATATCATCGCCGCCCCTGCCCACGCTTTTACTTTTTAATACTTCGGATACTTCGGGGCTGTGTTCACTGGGGGTTGATGGGGCCCCCCCTTTGCTTGTGCATGCGCGGCAGCTCGTGCATGCGCGGCAAACTCCGCCCCCACTAGAAGGGGGTTTCTAGTCGAGGCTAGCTGAGCCCGCTGCGGCGCAGCGGCGCAGCCTTCTGAGGTCTATGAAGAAAGCAGCGAGTGGCCGAGGTGACCCTGCTAGGCAGTGGGTGTACACGGCCGCTGTGCAGCGAGGGGCCTCGATGCTATATCCTACGAGTTTCGTGAGCTGCATATACAGCCGAAATACTTGAACTAACATCTACTCTCTCCCCAGGCGGCCTGCACCCGGCGGGTGAGCAAGCTGGAGCCGCGAGAGCTCACATGAGTAGTAGCAGAGTATCGCTGCTGTGCAGCATGAATTTCAGTATGTTCATGGGGGAGAACGAGCTACAGTGAAGCGAAGAGTTGAACTAAGAGTTTCCCCGAAACAGCTTACCACCTCCGCCTGTCTACCCAGGCATCCTGGGTGTTTAGTTTAGGTCAGGGGCTAGGGATGCAGGAGAGGGGATAGACAGAGAGTTCCTTCAGAGCATCTCGCAGCAGGTGCGCTGCATGTACACTCGGGCTAGTGTGAGGCTGGCTTGCGTCGCTGACCCAGCAACCTCTACAGCATAGGCTAGTGAATGTTTCTGTGCTAGCAGCAGGCATCTGTGTAGCTAGTAATGCAGTGGAATCTCACATAGAACACAGCCATGCGCCCCCCGTTGTATCCACTGACACTCTATACAACTGCTGAGCATACACTCTCCTCACCACAGCCAGGCTGCACGCTATCTCGCACGAACCACTCAGCAACCCCTACCTTCGTGGGCGCTGCTGGTGCCCTAGCTGAGCACTAGCCGTCAGCAATACCTGGAGAAGGGATCAGATACACTTGCAATATGTATGGTTGCAGCAGAAGACAGATGTGCAGTGAAGCACGCAACAGGAATACAGAAAGCGCTGATGCACTGCGATGCGCATACAGGCAAAGTGTAATGCACAGTGGCCGTATACTGTGCCTACGATACCCACTTGAACTCTATGTCAGTAGATCTACACAGAAATTACCAGAATAACGTGAAATAGATGTTGGTTTCAAGGAAAATCCCCAAATTACGGAACTTCCAAAGGGAAGTTCCCTCCAAAATCGTCTCTCTCTACC